ACTTTGGGCAGGACTGACTTGCTCACTCCCTTCTATTTCTGGGGCATTCATAAGAGGAACTCAGGCCAGAGCAACGGAGCTGTGCAGCAGTGGAGGTGGGCGGGGGGTCAGGACGGGAAGAGCAGGCCGAGACCGAAGTGGCGTTCAGGAGGGAGGTGCAACGGGACTGGAATGGCAGAGGGAGCGGAAGGGTCCTGACAAAGCTGTGCAGTATGGGGAATTCGTGTGAGCCCTGCCTTCGCTATGCCTCGTAGAATCCTAGAGCTGGAAGAGATCTCACGAGGTCATCAAGTCCAGTCCCCTGCCCAAGGCAGGACCAATCCCAACTAGCTGCGTTGAGTGCTACCGGCGCCTCAAGTTCCCCAAAGAAATCCACCCTCTGGAATCTACAAGAGTTGGCCCTAAATGCCATTTTGCATCCTCTGAGACTCGGCTCTGGCCCAGCCCAGCCCATCCCTTGGCCTTTCTTTAGCCCCGTCCGCAAAGCTTGTCCCTGGGCACCAGCATCCATTCAGCCTGGAGGGAGAACGCAACCAACTTTGCAAAGGAGAGTGAGTGGGGCTGGGAGGAAAGCGGCTTTGCGGCTCTTCGCCCTGCACACCTCATCCTGCCGGTGTCCTTCTGCTCGGCTAGGTTCCCAGCGCTAACGAGGCGTAGTCTGATGGCAAGTGGCATCTGCCATCTGATTCAAACCACCTTCCATCAGTGCCAGCTCAGCTCGGCAAGGCGGGGACACGCTTCATTAACCCCGGGGCTTTGTGGGCTTGTAGGACGACAAAGGGAACCGTGTTCCTCTCCCCCTGCCTGCCCTCCAGTGCGCCGTGGTGACAGGGTGCATCTCCCTCCCATCTCACTGCCGGCTCAGGTAGGTCTTTCTGCCCCTAACAAAGGTGGGGGCCTAATGCTCCCAGACAGGGGACAGATGGCAAAAGCCATTAGACTGAAAACATCTTAAACGTCTCCTCCAGGAAAACCACTTAGGACAGCCCGTAAGCAAATGACAGGCGGACCCGGGGCTCCGTCGGGGTCTAGAGACGCTGTACGCGCCAGGGCGCTGCTCAGCACCATCGGAGTCACTCTCGATTCCCCTTTCCCGTTCTGCGGCTTTTCGTTTCAGTTCCTCTGGCTCGGGCATCTCTGCTTCCTAAAATAGCCACAGCCTCTCATTGAAACTCCGGCGATGCCGCCCTTTCCCACCCCAGCCTCGCACTCCCTCCCGCTGGCTACTCACATGCTTGCATTGCTACATGTCTCCCGCCACCCTGGCTTCGTGCTGCAGGGTGGCCACAGGGAGTCGTGCAGCACGGTTTCAGTTCTCCCCGCCTGGCCATCAGAGGGAAGGCAGCCTTGTCTACCCAAGGTATGCCATGCCGGGGATTAGGGATGTTAAAATGCGTGTAACCATCTATTTCAGCGGTTACGTGGTTACACGCAGAAGCCGGTGCACACTGGGAGCTGGCTTTTAAGCCGGCTTCCCACACATAGGGGCTGTGTCTAGACTGGCAAGTTTTTCCGCAAAATCATCTGCTTTTGTGGAAAAACTTGTCAGCTGTCTAATTAAATCGAAAGAACGCGGCTTTTCTTTCGATGGCGGTACTCCTCATTTCACGAGGAAGAATGCCTTTTTTTGAAAGTGCTCTTTCGAAAAAAGGTGTTCTTGAATGCCAACAGGGCTTTTTTGAAAGAGAGCATCCAGACTGCCTGGGTGCACTCTTTCGAAAAAGCGGCTCACTTTTTCGAAAGAAGAGGTTGCAGTCTAGACGTAGCCTTCCTGGCTCCCATCTGCCACCCTGCTCCTGCTGTTGTTGGCTGCATTGCTGACTCTGAGACAGAGGCAGCAGTCCGGGGTGGCAGAGGGCTCCCCAGAAGCCAGTGCATGCTGGGAGCCAGCTTTTAAACCTGCTCCCCATGCGTACCGAGGCAGCAGCACAAGGTGGCAGGCAGCTCCCTGGGAGCCGGTGCACACCAGAAGCCGACTTTTAAGCCGGCTTCCCGCACATAGCAGCTCCTACCCGCCACCCCACCTTGCTGACTCTGAGACAGAAGCAGCAGCCAAGGCAGCAGGTGACTCTCCAGGAGCTGGATGGGGAGCCACGTGTAACCACTGGGTAACCAACAAGCATGAGCTTATCAGTTACCCATTTAAACGTCTCCACTCCTCCATCCCGACTGCGGGTAGGCGTATGTAGTGATTCCCCTAGTGCGCAGCCCTCTAGGAATCCTCTGGGAGCCAAGAGATCAGGGTTCTGGGGTGAGCAGAGCAGAGCAGAGGAGGACTAGGGGCAGGCACAGGAAATGAGGCATCTCCTCTTGCAGTTCTGCAACCCTGCAAAATCATACATCAGAGCAGCTGTTCTGGCTGCCCTTGCTAGCAGCAGGCCCACAGTGGCCCATGCAATCCCTGAACCGAGACATGCTGTCCTCCTCCTGTCTGTGCACCCGCACCTGGGCAGGAATGAATATCTCACTATGTAGCTAAAGTCACTGACCACCAACGGCACTGACCACCCCTCCCCAGACACATCCGTATGGGCGAGGTCTCCATCCCCTCTGGCACGGACACTGGGTGCCGAAAGAGCTCCAGAAGACGCGGGCTGATTTCAGACATGCTCCCGAGAGGGACTTCTGCTCAGCCCTGCATTCCCATGCTGTGCTCTGGAGCACAGAGTCAGGTGGAAACCTGTGCGAGGACGTCTGCACTACGGCATTGTTTCGCAATAACTCATGTTATTTTGAAATAACAAGGTGAACATCCACACAGCAAGTCCGTTATTTTGAAATGATTTTGAAATAACAGGCTTCGAATTCCGGAATCATAAACCCTCATTTCACGAGGAATAACGCCTATTCCGAAATAGCTATTTTGAAGAAGCGGTCGTGTGAACGTTCCGCTGCTGCTATTTCAAAATCGCTCCTCCCCAGGGCCATTCAAAATAATTACGCCCCAGTGCTTCCTGGGGCTCTAAATCAAGGTAGCACGTCCACATTAGGGGAGCCTGCCTCGGACTAATTTCGAGGCTTCCCTGTAGTGTGGATATGCTCTTTTGAAATAGTTATTTCAGGAGTTGTTATTCTGAAATAACTTATTTCGAAACACCCTTAGCCTACATCTAGACTGCCCCCTTGTGCAAGAAAATATGCAAATGAGGCAAAGCGGTGAATATTGCCGTGCCTCATTTGCATACTTAATGAGATGCCATTTTTGCACAAGGGGCTTTGCACCAGGGGCAAAACCCGCCTCTTGCGCAAGAGCCGTTCTTCCTGAAAAAAGCAGGAGAATGGCTCTTGTGCAAAAGCCCCTTGCGCAAAAATGGTGGCTCATTAAGTATGCAAATGAGGCGTGGCAATATTCGCCGCCTCGCCTCATTTGCATATTTTCTTGCGCAAGAGGGGGCAGTGTAGACGTAATCTTATAGTGTAGACATAGTGTGAGTGAGGAATGGGGAGGGAGAGGTCCCAATCTCTGTAGCTCCATCTCAGGCATGCACAAAATCCTGCTCTACCTGTCCCTCGCAAAGACAGTGGTTATCCCTAGAAAATAAACCAGGCGGATATAAAAATAAAGGTGCCGGCAGGTGTTTGACTCCCAGAGCGGCTGTGAAATAAATAAACCAGCAACCAGCGGCAGGTGGTAGCCAACTTCTTAATCTGCCCTTTTGCTCAGGGTAATACGCAGTCAGCCAGCAACAGGTGGCAGGGCCTGGATGGCTCTCCCAGCTCCTGCTATTTTTAAAAGGGGCTTATCTCTTTATAGCAAGAGATATTTACATAATCTTCAATCAGCAAACCCCAGCACCTCCACCCAGGAAGAGAAGGGGAAAACACTCAGCCTGGGAGACAAGAGGGAGCCGTACGCAGAAGTTACATAGAAAAGGTTTCTAAAGGGTCCCCTTGCCACCGGAATGGCACTAGACTTATTCTGGTTGTTCTCAGCTATAGGATGGGATGGTCACAGCACAGACACTGGTGTTGAAGTAGCCTCAATACCAGTAGCAGAGCAGCCCCCAGCCAGCTCTAGACTAGACAGCTATTTTTTCCTTGTCTCCCACATAGTTCCTGGCTAATCCCCAGGCCCCCGGATCCAGTGGTCCCAGTGCACATCTATCGGGGACGGTTCTGCTGACATCCATCAGCGAGCTTTGCATAGGGTCCCAAACATTCATGTGCCAGCCTGCTCCTAAGAGAGGCACTAGGTGTCCTTGTCGTTCGGTTTTTCAGTTGGATTTTTGCTGTGGCCCATGCCTGTTTTTTAGATGGCCCAAGTGACTCTGTCCGCATTATAGCCCAACCACATGAAGCCCAGCCAAACAGCCTGACTTCCTTCACTAATGATGGAGGCTGACTCTCTTGGGCCATACAGAGGTGCAACTCCGGAGTACGCCACCGAGATCTACGGGGTACATCAGGCTGAGGCTAGTGCAAGCCAGTGGAGAACCCAGACCAAGATTTGGAAAGGCAAGCTCCCATCCCGAATTGCCCTGAGTCACCTCCCTAGAAAATTCCACGAGGGCGAGTGATCCTTGCAGAAAACCTTGCTCATGTCTGGAGGTTCTGGATCTGGAGGGACCCTATCTGGATAGTTCAGAACGCCTCACCGGCTGTTCCAGTCTGGGGCTTTGGTTTGGACCCACCACTACTTTTTTAAAATCATGTGGATAAGACCCATTTCATTTTAAAGCAAACAAAAAGGAAGTACTGCTTCACACAACGCACAGTCAACCTGTGGAACTCCTTGCCAGAGGATGTTGCAAAGGCCAAGACTATAACAGGGTTCAAAAAAAGAGCTGGATAAATTCATGAAGGATAGGTCCATCAATGACTATTGGGCAGGAATGGTGCACAATGGTTGACAAGGGATGAATCACTTGATTATTACTTGTTCTGTTCCTTCCCTCTGGGGCACCTGGCATTGGCCACTGTCAGGAAACTGGGCTAGACAGACCTTTGGTCTGACCCTGTATGGCCACTTTTATGTTTCCAGCACTCTCCTCCCCACTCACCTGTGGGCTGCCAGTTCCAAATCCAAGGGTGGGAGTTGACGGGACAGACATTGAGTGAGGCCCCATGGGGGAGCTGATGACGGAGAAAGGGGGGCCCATGCCATTGATGGGGGAGCTCAGAGTGCTGATGGGCGAATGAAGCTGACCGGAGGATCCGATGCCTGGCCCGATGGATGGATGGAGGGAAGGTGCGGCCATAGGCCCCCGGCCACTCGGGGAGTTCAGGGACGTGGAATTGACTTGAGTAGAAAAATCTGTAAGACACAAAAGAAATGCTGTGGTTCAAAACCCCACCGGTGGTATTCTGAAGGGACCTCTCGTGCGCAATCATGCAGCATACTTAACGAGCCAGGCCTTGCCACGAACGATACCCATCCTCCAGCTTTCCCTCAGACACCCTTGTGCCATCTTCCCGGTCATCCCCGTGAAAATCTGAATGGCTATCCCATCGCTGTCCTTCACACCTAGCACTCCCCTTCCACAGGTAACTGGCTTAAAACCTGACACAGTGTCGAGGCAGCTGGTGTACAGAGGCCATTGCTTAGAACGCCCTTTCCACGTGCTGCACTGTCCCCTTGCCCTGCCCTCGACTGTTTGTCGTATCCATCTGCTGTTTCCTGATTGCAGGCTCTTTGGGGCTGAGATCGGCTTCCCATTGTGCATGAGCAAGAGGGCAGTGGGGCCCCTAGGCACCTCCCCATCTATGACACTATTCCTCAAGGCTGGTTGCGTGTCCATGAATGAGGGATGTATTTTGGCGTCACTCTCTATGTGGGGGATGTGTGTGGTATTTTCGGGAGGGTTGTGTGTCTCAGTATTTTTGTGTGTGCAATGGAAATGTGGGGTATATATGAGGGAGGCGTGTGTGTTTATGAATCTGTGTAGGTGGGTTGTGTTTGCGTCCATATGAGGGGGTGGCGTGGCTTGTGTTCACAAGGGGGAACGTATGGGTTTGTGTGGCATGATGAGCATATGTGGAGGAGGGTGTGTGTGTGTGTGTGTGTTAATGAGACAAGGAGCTGTGTGTCTGAACAGTATGTGTTTGTGGAGCAGAAGTGTGTGGGTGTGTATGTGACAGAGAGTAGCTTTGTGTTTGTTAGGTACATGTCTGTGAGGTGAAGCGTTTCTTTGCACAGACCCCAATAAGCCCTGGTCACTCCATGCCCTTCTGGGACTTTGAACTGGAATTCAACTTTGCTTGGGAGTTTTCTGCGCGCAGCACCCCCCCCCCCCCCTCCCCCCTCCCGGTATGTGACAGAGAGTAGCTTTGTGTTTGTTAGGTACATGTCTGTGAGGTGAAGCGTTTCTTTGCACAGACCCCAATAAGCCCTGGTCACTCCATGCCCTTCTGGGACTTTGAACTGGAATTCAACTTTGCTTGGGAGTTTTCTGCGCGCAGCACCCCCCCCCCCCCCTCCCTACCCCCTCTACGGCTCTACAGTCCCAGGAGAGTGGGGGGGATGTTTAAAAATAGACTCTAACTCTGTGGAGAGGAGACTCGGAGCCACTCCTGGCACATTTCCTCCTCATCCTGTCACGCTGCCTGAGAAACAGCCCAAACCAAGAGAGAGAAGAGCTCTTAATGCTCTTTTCCAAAGGTTGTGCAGAGAAATCGCATGACGGGGCTTTGGGCTGTCAGGGAAGCAGCTCCCACTGTCCCCATTTAGAACAGCTTGGGGGCGAGGGGGAGGGAGGAAGAAAAGAAGAAACTCCAAGCCGAAGTCCATGTGATCGCTGTCTCTCACCCACACAGGTGTGACTGCGTCAACATTTGTCTCCCAGTGCTGGATTAAAGCATTCTGGGACCCTCTGCACTATGGCAATGGAGGGGGCATGTTTGGCTTCTCTCTCTCCTCCCCTCTGGCCCTGGTTATGAGGGAAGGGCACCTGAGCCAAGCCTGAGTGGTGCTGTGTACACTTTTCCCTGAGGGCCGTAACGCCACCCCTATCCAGGGGCCCCCTGTGAGGCAGGGGCGCCGGGCACATGCACTGAGTGTGGCGCACTGATTAATTCAGGCCTGGCCCCACCTTGGCCACTGGGGAACCAGACGCCCAGAGACTGGAAGGTTCACATTTTCGAAAGCGATGAGGGGCCCCTCCGTTTTTCGGGGTCTCAAACTTAGCAGATGCTTCTGGAAACCTTGTGATTTGCCAGAGGGTTGCAAAGCGAGGCTGGAGGAGACGCCTCTCCGGCCCATGTCACAGCCCTGTCCCTCCACTGGCTTCGGCGGGTACTGCTGAGTCACGTCCGTGCTCGGACCACTCAACCCAATGCTGGGCCTGAATGTGATCCCAGTGAGCAGAGACCCCTTGGATGCCTAATAAACAGTGCCCGGAGGGAGGGGGCAGTCTGAGTCACAGAGTACACGTTTCTGCCGACACAAAGCAATACACATCGTGGTTCTATGGCAAATCTCATCTGAAAATCCGCAAGTGCTTCACCGTTGGCAATTCATGCACTGGGCCTGACGATAGTCACTTCAGGCAGGGAAACATTATCTCAGTTTTCCAGAAAACAGGAACAGCACTGTCATTCCTTACTCAAAGTTCACCTGTCAAGTCAGCAGCAGGGTCAGGAACAGAACCTGCGACCCCCACCCAGGCTCTAAATCAACGGTGGGCAATAAAATGGCGGCGGTTCGCCCGGGGTTAGCCCCTGGCGGTTTGCCACCTCTATACTTCCCCGAGCTTCCGGCAGCTTCCGTTGGCTGGGAATGGCGATCCGCGGAGCGGCTCGGGTAAATCTAGTGGTAGCGGTCCGCCAGGACCAAACCCTGGGGAACCAGATCCAGCCCGCAGGCCGGCATGAGCCCGCCCCTGCCCTGACGACTCATCAAACTGGCCCGTGTAGGCACGATTGAGCAACACGATCCATTTCGATGCTGACGGTGCCTCGATAACTCTCATTGGCTGCCCTGCTGACCAGCCCGTTTGTAGGCCGGCTCTATAAAGGGAGGACAGGGAAGCTTCCTGAGTAGCAACACCTTGAGAGAATCTCTCTGTGTGGAGAGGCATCACAATGGGGCGACGCGCAGCCGGGCCCCCTCAAGCCAAGGAACAAGCCAGACAAAGGGCCGCTGTGTCCTCTCCGCACTGAGCACTCCGCTCCCATCTTGTAATCCCGTGTAGGCCTGTGCCCATTGTGTCTGGCAGGCAGCGAGCTTTCCCAAAGTTGTCGCCGTAACAGGATTACAAGTGTGAAGAAAGAGGCTCCCTCCCTGAGGAGATCATTCTTAAACCGCTCAGAGAAGGGCCAGAAAGTGGCTTCCTGGGGGCTCGAACACAAAAGCAGGGAGGGATTAGGCTCCAAAAATCTGAGCGGCGGCAGAGGTTTCGACATCTTCCACAGACGTTTCTCTTCCCGCTGGTTGCTGTGACATTGTGGGACAGCTGGTTGTGGAGAGTTCACCCGGCAACAGAGGGGAAGGGCTGGGAGATTGTGTGCGGCATGTCACACGGGTGCACCAACACTGCACACCCATGCCTGACCTACAATGGCAGGCACCCTCGACACTGCATACTAATGTTAGATTCATGGATGCCCTGGGCTCACGGAGAAGCACAAGGCCACACCAAGTGCAGGGGTGTAATAGTGTAGTCGATGAACCAATTAACCGATACGTTTATCAGTTAATGCTACAGACATTAGCAATGCTAATTAACCAATACGTTTATCGGTCAATGCTACAGAATGCTACACGCATTCCCTCTCCGCTCCCCCCACCAATAAATTTTGTAGCAGGCTGGCCAGCAGCCCAGCTTAGTCCTACACCGGGTCTGGGACCTACCCCTGCTGCAGCTTTGCAGCTAAAGTGTATTAGGAGCCAGGTGAGCAGGCAGCCTGGCCCAGTTCCGACTTGCACTGGATCCAGGAACTCGGACCCCACCCCGCACTGCTGCTCCTGGCATCTTGGATTTGAGCTGGGTAAACAGAGGAAGCATCCTGGGCAGGATGGCAAGAAATTATGACCAAGCAATTTGAGCCCCACCCAACTGGTCCCAAAGGATCCCAGAAATGATCAAACCCTGCTTTGGCTTGATGTAGAGCCATGTAGAGCCCTGCGCAGCTGCAAAATGGTTGTCCAGATCTGCATCGAGATCTGCAAAAATGAGCTACGGAGTTCTGCATCCACATGTCTGCACATTTGCAGGGCTCTATTCCCAGGCACAACAGAAATGCTACTTTGGCGAGACGGCGCGGGCGGTCCAGGCTGAATCTGCTCCTAATAGGTGTGCGGAAGAAAAGAAGAGGCACGTGAACTGAAAGGAGAGGGAAGGAAAGGAGGCTGAGTGAGGGGCAGGGAAGTTTTTTTCCTTTTAAAGCAAGGCCCGGAATAGTTAACGCAAATGCACGAAGTGGCAAAGGTCACGGACAGGTTCCTGGAGATCAGCCCACACCCAGAATAACAGCAGAAAACAAAAAGCTTGCTGAACCCAGCCTGCTGTCCAAATGCCTTTCCCAAAACACACAGCTACCTTCCAGCAAAATTAGAAACAAACGCAAAAACACCACCGCTTCCGTTGCCACATATACTCGCTCTCCTCCTGAACCGGCTTCTATTACTCATCCTGTTTACACATTACTATCCAAGCAGACACATTCCCAGGCACCCAGGGAGGAACTGGGCGTGTTTTCTGGGGCAGGTCTGGAGAAAATCATCTAAGCAAAAAGAAAAAAAAGAAAAATCGTTTGCGTTGAAGGAACGTGTGAGTGCATGAATGTGTGTTATGTGGGGGGTTGTGTACACGCATGCATGCCTGTGCATTGTTCGTGTGTTGTTTCTGCAGGCATGTTATAGGTGCATGTTTGTGCACGAGTGTATGCACAAAACACACTTGTACGTGTACACAAACACACAGCACATGCATGCATGGCATGTTATAGGTGCATGTTTGTGCACGAGTGTATATGTGCATGCATGACCCTTTTTTGCATATGCCTGGATACATTTGTGCCTTGCATGCATGTGCTGTGTGTTTGTGTATACGTACAAGTGTGTTTTGTGCATGCCCCTTTCCATGTGTGTGTTTAGCAGAGAAAACGTCACTCCCTCCAATCTGACCCAGCTCTGAATTTTTTAGGAAGCCCTTGTATTTATAACAGGCAAGACTCAACTCCTGCATCCAAACAGAATGTTGGGGTGCTTAACATCCCAATCCAAATAATGCTATCGTGCCTCGTGCTGCCTCACAGCTTGTCTCAAGGAGGTGTTTAAAGAAGGGATGATCTGTAACATTTCACCAGGAAAGGAAT